GTCCCGACCTACGTGGGAGGTCAACCAACCAAACCGTCTCGAGGCTCGCCCTCTCTCAGTCTCAGGTTCTTTGCCAAGGTATTATGGAATCTATCGATCTCGTGGTCAATACTGCCGTGATAAAGAAAACGCCGTATGCGCCATCAGGCGTTGCCAAATTTCCTTTAAAGAACAACAAATTTTCAGGAAAATTCGCGACTATTTCTCCTCCGATTTTTCGGATAGTTTTGTTCTAAATTTGATCTAAAAAGTCTGAAAATTTCAAGGAAAAATATTCATAACATTTCTCATAAATGGCTATTTTCTGAGGAGAAATTTGGCAACATTCGAATGCTCTTACGACGTTTTTCTATAGCACGGAAGAATATGAGGAGCCCCCTGCGATATTTTTTACCGTCATTCTCCTGTTACTCAAACCATACACTGGGGGAAAAAAACCACATTGGATCTAGAGTCTAGACTCTTAAAAACATCGACAAGAAAAAGTACTCTTGATTCAATCAGAATCTAGCCTAAATCGAGAACCAAGCCTCTTAATTTAAGCGGATTTCGTTTTGATTCAAGCAAAAATCCGATTGAATCAAGAGTATTTTTTCTTGTCAATGTTTTCAAGAGTCTGGACTCTAGATCCAATGGGTTTTTTTTCCAGTGTAGAGGCTCACTTCCCGATATTCCCGAGTCGAATATGGTTACTTCATTTTTGGCGTGAGATCTGATGAGATTGGTGTGTCCGTGGGTGAAAAAAATGTCAGATCCCGCTCGAAAATCTAGGAGTGCAACAAACGTGAGACAAATCTTGGGTCGTTAGTTATCGTCCAAAATTGTCATCTTTGACAGGTCAAGTACGAATAATTTTTAGGAGATTAACAACCAGAGATATTATCAATAAATTACGATCTTTGTCGAACAGCAGTTCCGTAAGAAGTTGCCAAGCAAATGATAAGCTTACAGCCCTGTTCATCAGGTGAAGCATTCGAAGCTCCAAAGGTGAGATAAATGTGTGGTTTTCGAATAGATACACATATCCGGGAAAAAATTGGAGATGAACTTTAAGTGGACGATACCCATCAAAAATCGAGATGGATCAAAAACTTTTCCTACACGAGACACATTGAATAGTTTCTCCTTTGTTATGGAGATCTTACAGGAGCTTTTGTTATAATGGTTTCATTTATAAAGATTTGAATAGGGACCTCTCGACTCCTCAAATATCTTCATATTCAATCATTAAAAATAATTGATACATATTTAAGTATCAGCGCGAGACAAAATCAAAAGTTTGGCTCCTTTCCCAAAGATTATCGCCCTTTCAAAAGTTCAGTGTCTTTTCGTAGAGTTTCAAAAACAGTCCCAATCACAAATCAGGAAGAAACTGACCACCCTGACAGAAGTCACAACCGGCCATCGACGATGTTTTATACATTTGAATCGTAGGTGATGCTACACTTTTCTTGTTGTCATCGTGTCTGTCTGTGTGTCGTTTCAAAGCGACTCAGGTATCTGGTCACAGAAATCGAGTGATCGCAGGCAGCGCAGTGCACGCTGCTTGGAAGTGAAAGTGAAGTACTTTAATGCTTGTCACTCTTTGTCGAGCTGATCTGGGCCACTGGGCCACCGGATCACACCGCCACAATTATCACCGTCAGCACGGGCACCACCTTAGTTAGCGCCACTGCCACTATCTCCGTTATTAGTACTAGCGCCGCCCCCACCACCGTCACTAACCCCGCTGCCACCTCCACGACCTCCTATACCACCACCAACATCATCGATACCCCCCAAAGGAACGAGTAATTTAAAGGGATGACCATGAATACTAGCACTACTAGCATGCCGCGCCGCTTTTATAGCGCTTCCGTGCGCTCTGCGACACCCAACCGCCCTTGATAGCTCCTCCGACAGATTGCATCTCCTCATTTCCTGCCTTATTCCATCAACCCACAATTTGGCAGGGCGTCCTCTACGTTTTCTGCCCGGGGGGGAGGGAGGGTCCAATCCAGAACCTTCTTAGGCAACCTGTCATCTGGCATCCTGTACACATGCCCATACAAGACAAGCGGTTTCGTGAAAATGTCATGCACTATGTTGTTTTTGACGCCCATATCTCACGTATCCTTTTATTCAAAACTTTATCTTTCCTTGACACTCCGGCCGATCCACGCCAGAAGTCCGTATCAGTTGCCCTAAGAATGTCCTGGAACTGTTACTACCTGGTATACCTCACTGTCATAGGTTAATATGCTTTTGATGATGAAGTTGTAAATTCTAATTTTGTTAACTTTGGTTCTAGTCTGGTCCCAAAGAATGCCATTCATTATTCTAATGGCTTTCCCTGTAGAATATAATGCTTGATTGCCTGGTCCAATTTAGGACCATGAATACGACCCTTAAAAGAATGCAAGAAAGTAAGACTTGGTACCCCGTCTGACAACTGCGTTGTCAAGTTATGCAATTATTTGGCTAACGGTCAAATTGAGCGTACCGAATCTCGTGAATTGATGCCCAGCCATCGCTACGATGGATTCCATTCCAAGTGTTCGATAAGCGCTCCACCAAGAGGAAGAATGACATATTTCAGTGAGGGGGACTCGGGGATGCAGGCGTGAAATGAAAATATGAAAGATTGGAAATTTTCGTGAAATATTTCGTGAAATATTTCATGAAATTTCACGAGGTTGTGAAAAATTGCATATTTTTCAGGGGTTAGAGTATGCAACCCGCACTCAAACACACAAAAATAAACGACAGACACAATTTTTACATTTCGTGAAACATGAAAAGGAGCCGGTATTTTTCAATATTTTTCTGAAATTTCGTGAAATTTCAAAATTTTATTTTTCATAAAATATTGCAATCCCGCGGGGGACTTGTAGAAGTCATCATATTTTAATTCGTGGTTACACTTGATTTTTCCTTACAATCTGTAGAACATGTAAATAAAAACTTATTTCGTGGAGAGACGAGTCGGAATAACTTACGACGACAAGGCAATTTGTTCGTATTCCGTGTAATTACTTCGGCGCTTTTTTGAGGGTTAAAAGTTATGCCATGTTTGTGGTAAACCCTTCAACTTCAGTATCAGGTACAACATGACACAGACATTTTTGTCGACGGAAGACGGTGTCCCATCTTCTATTATACATCCTGCTTGCTTGTCGTTTGTCCTCGTCAATGGAACCGTAACCGGTAATGCGGCACCTTTTCACATAACCTAGTAGATAAACCGCAAGTTTTGCCCCCCCCCCCTGATTAGCCCACAGCTAAACATCAATGATCCATGCGTGAAGCAGTAGGCGGCAATATTTTTTGGAGTTTTATTCGCGTCTTCAAGGCGGCCCAGAGTAACGGTGACAAGTCACGCCGAACGATTTCTCCCTGCTTATCAGTGACGTTGTCCTGTTCCATCGTCGTGCGCTGGTCGGTCGCACCGTTGTTTCCGTGTGCTCATTTTTTTCTCGGTCTTCACTAACTTAAGTAATTCGTGCGGAATAGCGCTGACTTTTGAGCTCATCTGAATGAGAGAGCTTACACTGAAATGGTCTATACTTTTTTTTACAAATTAAAACTCTCTTTGATTTAAAGAAAAATTTTGAAGTGAAGAATTTTTTTCATTTGAAGAAACATTGCGTTGAGTAACCCAAATTGTTTATTTTAGAGAAATGTATCTTGCTCATCGATGATAAATTTTGTTTCAGTCGCATTTCATATTAAAACACGTGAATTTACAAAGGAGCAACAATGATTCACTCGTAAACGAATATATTTAAAAAAAAATAAATAAATAAAAATAAATAAATAAAAAATAAAAACTTTATCCCCCATCGCCCTTCCTCAAAAAAACTCCAAAGCACAAAAACCACAAAGTACCCCGTTTTAATTTTCCAAAAGAATGCTTTTCGACCATTTTTCAGTGTTTACTAACTACCCCTTCCCCTTGCCGTCCTCGCGCCTTATGACGCTTACTCCCACTACCATCATCTCCTTTTTAAACCTAAACAGAATTATCGATCGTTTATTTAATGTTCACGCCGCCCTTTTTTTGCTCTTTGGTGTCTTAATGAGCTAAAACCCAGCGTATTGACGTAATCCAATCTTTGCCTTCTTTTTATAGCAACTGCTGTTCAAATCACGAAGAAAGTGGACAGATTTATACTACCGAACAAGTTGTCAAAAATTGCATAAGGTTCTCGGGTTTTTTTTCTCTTTTTTTTTGGCACAACTTACGCACGCGGATTGAAAGATACTCATCGTAATATCTCATCGGGGATCGTTTCATCGTTTTCACGTAGTCAAGTCAATATCAGATTGGTTTTATAATTTTCTACAAGAATTTTACGATATGGCAGCCACGAGTGGAGGTGCGTGGGTCGAAATGCGCGCAAAGGCGATGACGCCCTTAATTGTCCCGCGGTGGTGGTGAAATATGACCAGCGAGGAAATGCTAGAAAGGCTGCGTGGGACGTTTGAGGAGGGGAGGGTTGGTCAGCAAGTTTTTTCCCCACCCAACGTACGCAATTCGTGTTACTTCACAGAAAAGCGATGTATATCGACTTATTTACATCGATAGGGTTTAAAAAGGTTTTTTAAGGTTATATATTTTGGAGCCAATTTTAAAATTACGGAGCATCCATATATTGTCTCCACTGTAGTTACCTCTATAATGATGTCTACAAATCAGAGAGGTTAACAACAGATTCCAATTTCTTGTAATATTTATACACCTGTTGAAAAGAAAACAGTCCCTTTGAATGTATATCCACTTAAGACATCCTGCTTTTTACCTTTTTGTGAATCTGCAACGGGTTGATACGGTGGTTACATAGATCAAGACTGAATGCTGAGTTGAGTCACCGTACCTTATCATTCATGTCTTTTATTATTTATTTCCGGGTTCTCGGTGTGTTCAATAGCTCCTGACTTCTATGTTTAATGTGTTTATTTATTTCAAATGAAAAATGTCCGCTCCCCCGAGACTAAAGTGGTAATTCCGTTTGTTCCAGGTATCAGAAGAAAATCGGCACCTACGACAAGCAAGAATGGGAAAAAACTGTAGAGCAGCGAATTTTAAGTGGTTTCACGCATGTCCCTAAAAAAAGTGCAAAGCTCAAAACAGATTTGATCGATGTGGATCTAGTCAGAGGTAAGAACCACTGCCTTAGAACTAATTTCATTTACGTAGAGCACTCGCTCCTTTGAAGTCTCCTAAGTGTAGCCCTGGATTTCACTCTTCCAAATAGCCCTCGAATTAAGTCAGGAATTGTACAAGAATATAAACTGATCTAACAAAAAATTCCTCATTTGATGTCATATCTTACTGTATAATATAAAATCATAAGAGTAACGCGTCAGTTCAGGGCCGGATTTACCTACTTGCCGCCTGTATTTTGCCGCCCCCTTCTCATTCGTTTTGAAACATCAATGAAAACTAACAAATGAACGTGCCAGCGGGGGAGGGGTGCATAATAAGACGCGTTTACTGGTGTTGAACACATTTTTTGGGAAAGCCCTGTCAACATTACTAGCAAAAGTTCACAGAACTTTGCGCAAAAGTTAAGTTTCGTAAACCTATCTCTGTGTGGACAAGGCCTTCCACTCATAAGAAATGAACGAAAAAATTATGAAAGAACAAACATAAATGTGGTTTAATGATTTTAACTTTCGCCGCCGCGCAGACCGCACCGTGTTTTGCGCAATGCGTGAAGTATTCCGACAGTCTTGTAGGCGCTATGCGTTTCACGCAGACCGCTGCTGAACGCACTGTGTTGGACGCAATGCGTGAAGTATTTACGCAGTCTTGTAGGCGCTATGCGTTTCACGCTGATCGTACTGTGTTTGGCGCAATGCGTGAAGTATTCATGCATTCTTGTAGGCGCTATCCGTTTCACGCTGACCGCAATGACCGCAATGACCGCAGTGTGTTTGATGCAATGCGTGAAGTATTCGTGCAGTCTTGTAGGCGCTAATATGTGTTACATGCCGATCGCCGCGCCGAGGGCTTCTCCTTTTCATCTCAAGTCCTCGTCATCATTGCTCTCTGCGCCGCGCCGTTCCAGGCCAAATTGGGTGTTTGGTTTCTCTCTTAACTCGACTAATGAAAGGTGCTACCTCTTGTATCACCGAAAGACGGCAAAATTAGAAATCACTATACTCTCAGGAAATGAGAGATTTTGTCGCCTTTTCTCGTTTGTAATTTTTCCTTTAATTCCGATTTTTTTTTAATACCTACACTTTAAAAAATTGCAAATTTTTGCCGCCCCCAAGATTTGCCGCCATGAGCCGCGGCCCATGTGGCCACCCCCTTAATCCGGCCCTGCGCGTAACGCATAACGCCTGAGGCGCGAAGCGTTTCGAAGGGTTGGACCGCGGAGCAGCAGGAGACGGACCCCCTAGTGTGTAATAATGGATAAGGTAAAATCAGAACACGAATCTCGTTTTGCGACGTTCCTGCCATTTTTACTCTTACAATGGGAAAAGCCTCAACGTTATCTCCTGAAAACTGTCCCGTTTTTTTTTTTATCTCGGAGTGACGAATGTTGCGTGAAAATTTCAAGTAATGACGTTGATTCGCATTCCTTTGATAAAGTGAAATGGGAGCGAAGATTTTGAATCACAGCAAAGCCGTGCTAAGGAATAACGCCGTTTGACCATTCGAGAATTGCCAAATTTCCCTCGATAAAACATGTATTCACGACGACATTCATGCATACTTTCCCTTGAAATTTTCAGATATTTTAGATTAAATTGCGTACAAATTTGTCTGAAAATTTTGGAAAATAATATTCGCAATTTTCCCAGTAAATCCGGTTTTTATCGGAGGAAACTTGGCAACGTCTGAAGGCTCATACGGGGTTCTTACCTAGCACGGCAAAGCAAACCAGATACGCGTTCCTGACGTTTCACCGCCGATATGTATTTAGCGCGCACGCCTTGTCTCCAGTGCTTGTGAGCGGAGCGCAAGAACGTTTCAATCTCCCAATAATTAGGAACAGCAGGGGGCCTAACTTAAATTTATGTTTTCAAGCTTGAATCTATCAACTTCATCAACCAAATCTTGACCATGTTTGTTCTTACGGCGATGAGAGATTCAATGCAAACCCGTCTGTATTCAAGAGTACCTGCCAGAATTGAGGGTGGGTGAGAGGTATATCGGAATCTTCCTATCGCCTTGCAAGCTATTGCTCAACTCAACATGATTAATCAATTCATCAGTCCGTAAAAGATATCGCTGCTTTGTTTCTCATTGATCCGGAACTCTCGCAAATAATCTTCTGCATAGGTCCGTCTTGGCCTTTTTTTTGCAATCTCGAGTCTCGGAAAGAGCTGCCTATTAAAGGTTTCTCCGTCGTGTGGATCTCGCAGAATATGGAGAATTTGAAATTCTACACTTAGACAAGCTTCTGGTAAAACTTTTAGTTTGGATACAAACTTAGCATCGGTCGCAAATTTTACTTTTTTGACTTTCAAAAATGTCGATAGCTTCGAGTTCCTTACCTATGAAACGACTTCAACGGACAGTTCTTCGTATGGTTAGATAAACAATATCACCAGATAAATCTGGTAGGAAATTTGTTGTTTATGATATGACACTGGATATCTGGATATCATTGATATTCAGTATTTTGTCTTCAGTAGTGTACGTCCAGTAAAAATCAGTGACGCTCACAGCAGAAGTACGGAAATTTCAGGATCTATCCTAAATTATTCCAAAAGTGTATTGATTTGTTTACAACTTTAGAAGAAACATTTACTCAATTTTTGTCAGCGCCTTGCATAATATTATATGCGGAAAATTTTAAGGTGCCCTCCGTTAAATTAAAGACTTCGCCATTGGTTTGTGTTCGCTAGTTTGGTTGTGTTTGTTTTGCTGGTGCTATACGATTCAATGACTCAGAAATCAGTAACGTATTTACGCTTTTCCCACGCTTTGGGTCCTGTCTTACTATGAGTTCTGAACTGTCAATAGGTTGAAGTACATTCTGACGGGACTTTTCTTTTAACTTTTCTGTGAAAACGAACTCTTATGTTGGGATATCCGCTTTAAACATTTTTGTGTCCGTCGAACGATTTCCACGCATTCGTTGCTACTAGGTCAGTAAGTGTTGGGACCCAGCCTACATTTCAGATTAGTAACGTCGTAACTTGTGTACATAATCAAAGCATTTTTCGGATAATTTACAATGTTACGATAAAATCAGGAAAAATTAACTTCATCGGTGCAATAGGCGCAAGTCAATATTTTATGCAACGAACACTATAAGCGAATTTCATGACAACGCCTGGGTGCAACTATTCGAGCTCCTTGGATGTCCACGTCGCATACGCACGGGATTGAAGGAGCTTTGACTTCTCAGGCTCTCACTTCTTCACTCTCGGCGCGGATCGTGGTGGCGGGTTGTACTGCAATCCAAAATGATAAAGCGCCTTCAACTCTGCGTGTGTACCCCAAATATATCCACAACGCACGAATAGTTGCATACTTATGTAGGATGTGAGTATCTTTGTGCTTCAGTTTGATATAGCGATGCGCTGAGCATGATTTGTAGAGCAGGTATTTGTGCCTAAGATATATCTTTTTTATACGAACGAAGAATCAAACTCGCTCTTTCATTTCGGAATCTCACATTACAGATCGCAAGAAAGAAAAACAGCGCATTGGCAGAGATTGGACATGACATTTTGGACTGAAACTGGAATTTATTGTGATTATTCCATCATGGTATGAATTTCAAAATTTGCTGGAATAAAACGTGGAAAACAATGGAGCCACTTTTTAAAATTCTATTTCTTATCAACGAAGTTATAAAATTCCCTAGTTTCATGTCCGACCTCTTCTATCGACTCTCCTGTGCGCCGCCGCGCCGCGGAGGAGGTAAAGGTGAGTGCCTGGAGAGCCAAAACGCCTTCACTCCTGTGCATATGCAACACGGACATCCGTGGAGCTCGAATAGTTGTATTCAGGTGTTATAATGAATTTCGCTTGGTGTTCGTCGCATGCGATACTAACTGAGAGGGCTTTGCAAAGCCGGCCTATAGTTGAAGCGTGAACAGAAATCAAGCGCATGATTCTTCTTACGTTTTCCCTCATTTTGGGCTTTGCGCTTTTGGGTACCGTCCGCTGTGAGAGGAGTTCACCTCCATATCCAGTAAAACTCTCTGTGAGTAAATACAGAGCTATTACATGCGGAGGGTTTCCACTTTATGCGGAGACTCTAAGGTTGCATCCACGGCAATCCTGCGAATGTATTCGCTCCCTATCGTGGCGCGGAAGGATTGGATGTGGAGATGGACTCTCATAACGTAGGCGAACTCCTCTGTTGCGGCCTCAACTTTGAAAGCTTTTCGAGAGCTTTGAAGTCGTTCGTTTCGGAGAAAATCAGTGGCGCCATTGTGATTTTTCTCGCGAAATTTTACAGCAGATGAGATTCTAAATCACAAATCCCTGTGACATGGGAGAGTCCATCTAGCGACAAGAAACCCTGCACAGGTGGAAGCTTTTACCTTCGAGGATTCATCAGTTCCTTGTGGACAATTATTATAAGGGAGCAACAGTCATCACTCTTTTTTCGGCTGTTGACCTACCTACATGGTGGACGATGAGCTTTTGGTGACGGCATGAGCCAAACTAGTTTCCCAAACTTGCAAAATGTTTGCAAAACGAAACTGCCAACACGTTGATCATCAACCATGTAGGTAAGTCAACAGTTTAATGTTGGAGTCCTGAAAGTAAAAGCTTCCACCGTAGCCGAGATACGAGTGGAGGGTCCCTTGTCTCTGGCTCCGTCGGACCCCTTCCCCCTCTTTACCTCCATTTCTGCTCCTGCTCCCCGAACGAGATTCCAGTATTCGCGGTTACTGGAACTACGTATGCGATTACGATGGCGAATGGTTAACTAGGCCGCGGAGTCCTTACTCTGCTTTACGCGATTCGGTTCCGATTCGCACCTAACGGAGCGAGGGCCCNGGGGGGGGGGGGGGGGGGGGCTCGCGAAGTGGCGGCGTGTCGTATCAATTGCAGTTACCTAATTTCTCCTTAACCTTGGAGACAGTAACCTCATTCTGCGCCGCCACCGGGCATCAAGGTAACGCCGTAACGCTGCACGCAGGAGGCGCCAGGCCCGCGTCGCGTCGCGTCGCCGCGAA